TGGGCAACAAGTTGACCCTGAGCCAGCAGTGTGCCCTTGTGGCCAAGAAGGCCAATGGTCTCCTGGGCTGCATTGGGAAGAGTGTTGCCAGCAGGTGGAGGGAGGTGATCCTGCCCCTCTCCTCAGCTCTGGGGAGGCCTCACCTGGAGTACTGTGTCCAGTTCTGGGCTCCCCAGTACAAGAGAGACATGGCACTCCTGGAGAGAGTCCAGCGGAGGGCTACCAAGAGGATTAGAGGGCTGGAGCACCTCTCCTAGGAAGAAAGACTGCAAGAGCTGGGCCTGTTCAGCCTGGAGAAGAGAAGATTGAGAGGCGATCTCATCAACGTGTACAAGCATCTGAAGGGGGAGTGTCAAGAGGATGAGGCCAGCCTCTTCTCCGTGGTGCCCAGCGACAGGACAAGAGGCAATGGGCACAAACTGAACCACAGGGAAAAACTTCTTTGCTGTGAGGGTGACAGAGCACTGGCACAGGTTGCCCAGAGAGCTTGTGGAGTCTCCTTCCCTGGAGATATTCAAAACCTGTCTGGATGTGATCCTGGGAAATATGCTCTAGAGGACCCTGCTTGAGCAGGAGGGTTGGACTAGATGATCTCCAGTGGTCCCTTCCAACCTAAACCATTCTGTGAATCTGTGATTCTGTAAATGGGATGAACTGGGACTGTAGCGGGTAGAGAAGTGTAGCACTTCCACGTTCACATTGCGTTACTCCATCCTCTTTCATACCTTGTACCCCAAGGCATTTTTTCAAACTCTGGGTTGATACTCAATTTCCTTCCAGCAGGGTGTTTCATCGCCACTGGTTGTAGCCTCAGTTTCTCTGTTTGTAGGCACTGGCTGTTGCTATAGCCAAGTGTGAAAATGAAAATGATGAAACAGTGTTTATACAGGAAGAAATAGGTTAATCCTCATTGCTACCAACAGAGTTTTACACTGTGTTGGATAAGATGAGTCATGCAAGCATAAATGTGTATCTGAATCTGGTTTTTAAACTTCCTACTCTGAGGGAGGGAGGGGAATTTGCTACCAGATTATTCTGGGTCTTTGTTTCCCAGACATCCAGCTGCTTTCTCATCACTTATGCTTAGTGTCACTATAAAAGGTAGGTCCACTGATTGACCAAGATTGTATTGTGCAGTAACTGAAACTCACGGTGATCTGAGATGAACCATGAACACCTCATTGCAGCAAGGAATATTCCTGTAGAATTAATTTTATATCTGAGACAAAGAAGTCCACTGTAATGGGCAACTTTTAAAGAGATTCTTTTTGTGGGTGATCATCCAAGCCTTAGTGTTAAGATGCAACAGGAAAGGTGGCCCTATGCAAGAATATCCTTAGAGCATGTGCATTCTACATCCAAGTCCTCCAGCTGAGATGGCTTCGAGATCTTGCTGTGCTTTACAGCACGAGCAAACTCTAAAAAGTAGGAGTCTAAAATTATATTCCCTTTTTTTGGCATTTAAGCACATGGCCTGTTTCTTTTACATGAATACAGAAGAGCTTATATTGAGGTCAGCAGAAGCTTTTTAAATGCTCACAATCTGGGGAACTGGGCTACTATTACTTGGTGCTTGGCTTTAGGCTGAGAATCCTAATTTTAGAGGACCTTTTTTAAACACCAAACTGGACTGATGCTATTTGGCTTGAGCCTGCTTACAGTGCAAGGTAAATAAGGAATAATTATGTGAAATTATGCTGATTTACTCCAGTATGAGATACTCTGATATACCTATAAACATTCAGCAGGGAAAAGCATAATTAGGTCAGTTAATTATAGCAGAAATTGTACTGAGAACATGGGTATGAAATTTCAAATCTCTTGACATGAAATATTGTCTATTAAATCTGGTAAAAATTCTCAACTGTCTGCTACTTTACGAAGGAAAGACCTTTGCAAAAGTGATTTTTTTTTTCAGTCCTATATACAATACAAGCTGAGGCTATGCCTAGGAGGTAACTTACTGAGTTAGGAGTTGTTGTGCTGTTTAGTCCATGTTCTTGAAGATCACTTTCCAGAAGAACTGCAGTTTGATCCTCAGCCCATTCACGCTTTGAAAGGTTGGAATAACTATTAACTGAGATGAAAGGTTAGACTGTAACAGGTACACTGTGTTTAATTTGGTGAGTGAGGTAAGTCTGTTATTAAAGGCATAGCCTAAGCATACCACTGCTGTGGAGCCTCTGGAGGAAAGTCCATGGCCCTCTGCCCTCCATGTACCGCAGAGACAGGTGCCAGAGGCAGGTTTGGGCCTCAAAGTCACTGGGGGTTCCTCAGCCTGGGAACTTGGTCCAGACCCAAACGGCCCAGCGCAGCACTCAGCTGACCTCCCGATCGTGTTTGCGTTCAGATCCAGGCCTGAACGGTTTGTCTGTGGATTACTTTTGCTAAACACGCGTTAGGAAGGTTGGAATATTCCCGGGGGACCCATGGAGATTTGAAAGTTTTTGTATTTCATGGCTTTGTAGAGATTAAAAAAAAAATTTTAAGTGGCAACTTAATTTATATCAAGGGTGAATCCAACCAGTGATTTTAGTGAAACTAAATCTGTTTCACTAGCTGATAGGACACTTAATTTCTTTTACTGAGAACAGGTGACATCCACCTAAAACTCAGCTGCTTTCTCCCTCAGAAAAGCTCTTTCCTCTCCTTGCTGCTTCTCTCCCTCCCTCTCTCATTTTATCCTACGTGAAGATCTGAACAATATTGTTCATTGCTTTGTGCTTCTCTATTAATCTCTAGTGATGTTCTTCTTTCTCTTGAATCGTGCCTCAACAATAAGTATGTTCAATAACTTTCCCCTCTTTGTACAGCACAGGGAGCCTGGTAGCAATACGAAAATAATGGCAGGATTAACTTATTTTAGAGTATTTCATCCTGATAGTTATTGTTGACCACTTCACCCAGCACAGGAATGTCTCTACTTCTGTGTATATATGTGTAGAAATAAACCTCAAAGCTTATTTCTAGTATTACCAGTAAGTGAATGGAGTTGAACTGAGTAGAAAAAGAGCCTTGCTCTGTTTAGTTGTCCTATTTGTCCCAGCTGATAGCATCCAGTTAAGAATAGCAACCACGGTAGCAATATGGTCAGGAACAGATTTTCTTTTTTGCAGAAGTCTATTTTTAATTGGGGGATGTGCTCCTTTGTGAGGAACGGAACGAAGCTATTTTGGAAGTCGTCAGGCTGTTTCACAGCAAGGAAGGGGAGAATTACCCCAGCTTTCACTGTGAGATCTCCAACTTGTCTATACTGTTTTTCAGTGAGACAGATAAAGCTGGTGAAAGGTCTTCAGCCCCTCGAAGTCTGCGAGAAAGGGACTGTCACCTTTGAGGTGGAAGTGTCGCACGAGGATGTGGAAGGAACCTGGCAGAAAGATGGTGTTCGGCTGAAGCCTTCCCCAAATATCCACATCGATGTCTTGGGGAAGAAACATTCACTGACTCTCTCTTCTGTGAACCTTGAAGACGCAGGACTCATCGCCTTTAAGGCAGATGGCATTCATTCATCTGGGAGGCTTACTGTGACAGGTATGCAGTCTCCAAAGTCTCAGGCTCTGATTGGTGTGGGACATGGGTCATTAGCCATAGTGGAATCCCTTTGGACATGTCTGCAGTAGTGGGTAACTATGAGATGTTTTTGAAGCTATGCACATCAGTGTGTTCTGCAACAGAACCACATTTCCCTTTGTGCATTGTACCTACTGTTGTTTGTAATCTATTATCTGTTATGAAACAGTAAAAATTTTCTCAGTACTGAATGAATTTAAGAAAAGGAAAGATAAAGGTCCTGTCTTGCAGGAAGAGGCTGCTCTATCTATGCTTGCTTCAAGTGCCTTCTGAGGCCTCACCTATCCATTAGTAACTAACGTAACAGTACAGATGTTGAGTGAATAGTGTTGCTGTTCCATCCATGTGTATACAATGTAGACATCATGAAAACAGCACAGCACAAATGGTAACCTTTTGATTGTTCCTGTCCCAGACAGTGAGCTCTCAAGAGGGCAACAGACTTTCTTTGCAATTGCACGTGCATTGGACCATCATCAATAATGTATCCCTCTGATATCAGCTGGATGGTTGTAATGTAATCATCAACAGCACAACCAACGATAATGTACTCACAACAACAGGATTTTGGTTTTTTTCACTTGCATTAAGCATGTAAGATAGGCTATTATTCCTTGTGCCAGATACTTCTAGTAAACCTACTTCCCCATTAATTGGACTTCCTCTTCTTTTTGCAGAATTGCCTGTGAGAATCAGCAAGCCTTTGTCAAACACCAGTGTAACTCAGAAGGACAAGGTCACATTTGAGTGTGAGCTGTCCAGGCCCAATGTGGATGTTAAGTGGTTCAAGGTACAGCACTTAATGGACGGTGACATTTTCACTTCTAATGTCCGTGGAAGTCAATGAGAGCCTTTTATTTCACTTCCAAGAGACCTGGGTCTGAGCCTTTGCTCTTCAGCTCTTAGTGTTGCTCTCTTGTCCTTATATTCATTTACTCACCCAGTTTATCTCTCTGTGGGTTATTTATTTACCAGAGCTTTTTGGGTGCATTTATCAAGTTAAAAGTTAAGCTTCTCTTGAATTTATAATGAAATCCTGAACTGCTGTTGCACAGAATGTGAGCACTGCTGTCAACAGAAGCACAGTGTTGTGATTCACTTCAGGCTTAGCAATTCTCACCTAGGATTTTTAGGCAAGTTGGGGACACGGTTTAGGGTAAAGCCTCGATTCCTTTTGCACCTGACCGTCTGGAGATGAGCTCAAGCATTTCATGTACATTCCTTGTAGCTCAGTTGATTCTTTGTTTAAGTGGAGATAATAGCATTTCTTGAAAGTGGTGTCTTAAGGGGCTAATTGCCAACCCTGTACAGTGCCGTGAGCCTGCAGACAGGTATCTCAGATCAACCAATAGTTTATGCTTGTTCTCCAGCCATTTATAGTTCATGAAGAATTTACACCACACTTAAATTTTGACATATGCTGAAGTTCCACTGAGCACAATCTCACTAAGTCCTTTGAGACAGGTGAATTAAGCAAAGGTCTGAATACTTGCTTTGCACAATGCAGACGTAGAATAGTTGATTGTGGTCTGGTTTGACCTTTTCCCTTCTAGGATGGGAAGCAGCTTCAGCAAAGTAAAAAGGTGGGGATTATTTCCCAGGGAACTAAAAGAAGCCTTATTATTCACAAGTGTGAATATGAAGACCAAGGAACATACGTATGTGAAGCAGCTGACGACAAGACATCAGCTACCCTAGAGGTTCATGGTATGTTTGACTGAACGAGGAAATGACCCCTAATGCAATATTCGACTTCACAGCAAGAAATGCTTCAGGGGCAGTTTGTGCATTCCTCCGTTACTCATTCTGAGTAACTTTCTCTTCCTAGTGGGAAAATATTGACAGAGCTGTCCCGTGCTTATTTTATCCTTGGATGAATGTTTTTGGAAGAAGCGCTAACTTAGTTTTACATTTCTCATGAGTGTTTTCCACTCTCTGGTTTTAACATGTTTCTAGTTTGGCAAGTTAACAAATACCAGACAGCCTGGCACAAAGCAGGGATCCAAGGGTTAACATGCACACAGGTTGGTTTAGCTTCTGCTGTTGTCACACCTGAGTAGGAACTGGATAAGCTCTGAGTACAATCTCAAGATCTGCCCCACTTCTTATGTTGTAAAAGCTAAGGTGGAATAGGAAAGAGTCATGATTTCTTATTGCATCTCTGCTTTGTGCTCAACTTTTCCCCTCTGTGTACTGCACTGTGCAACTGTTTAGGCACCAGATGGATTTTCTCACTAGCCTCTGAAGCACCAGAGACAAGCTAGTGCTGAAGGCCGTTAACTGAGTGGATAGGTCTGGTATTCCCTGGGAGAAGTTACTTTCAGGGAGACATCTGAGAATACAGACCAGCTCTGTCTTATTCCTTACTAGATGCTGTCCTCCTGTGGCCACTTGAGTACAGCACCTTCATGAATATCCTGTCCTGTTCCATTGCTCTGCTAAAGTCCCCTTTTCTCCCTGACTTTGTGGTTGGGATGGGCTGCTGTTTGAATGCTCTCTGGTTTACAGTAACAAATAGAGGATGGATCAATTCTGACACAAATAAGTGCAGGGCTGTGGAGTTGAAGGGGATTATACCCAGCTGAAGGCACTCTGAAGCAAAGCATCTCATGCTGTAAAACATGTGGCTGAGGTCCCTGTGGCCCTATGCGATCCAAGTACACAGGAGAAGGTGTGAGAGGGCAGCATGCAGAGAAGGGCTCCCAAGGGCTCAGCCTCCACGCAAAAGTTTAACTGCCTCTGGGTTCGACTCCCAGTGACCTTGTCGTGAGGCTGTGCAGGCAGCAGGTGGGCTGGGCAGCAGACAGCCTATTCGTGCTCCCTCCTAGGAAACCAACACACTGTTCTTGCCCTGCGAATGTTTGATTTGACCCAGGCTGTCAATCAGGTCACTATTTCCCTGACAGATGAATGTCAGCGATGTAGACCTCCCCTGACAGTGATTTTGATTGCAAAACTTAATTATGATAATGAGAACTTTTTCCTTTTTTCTGCCCTTGCGAGAGCTAGAGAGTAGCATAGCTGGGAAAAATTTGTTCGCTGGAATATTTTTGATAGCTTCGCAAAGGCCATTGCAGCCAGACAAAACCTCAAAGGGATTGTGCTAAAACACCCAGAGCTGCTTTAAGCATCATATCCAGTTATCTGCCACTCTCTGCCCTATGAAAAGTGCAGCTGCTATTTTTAAGAAGAGAGCAGAAGAGCAACTTCAACCATCAACCCAGCAACTGGTTCCCAACAGTGGCCGGTAGTAGATGCCTAGGAGAAAGCATAAGGTTTAGAGTAACACCAGAGGTTGGAGTTTTGGGTTTAGTTTTCCTTGGTGATTCTCTTTCATGAATATGTTTAATTTCTTTTAAAACTTTTATAAGTTCTGGCATCCACAAAACCATACTGCAGTGAGCTCCACTGTAGCTGGTAACTCTACCTGTATATTCAAGAATAAAATGTATTTATTGTGCTAGAGAGGGAAACCACCCAGGAAGGGAAGTTGGTTTAGAATAAAACACAGTTTGTTATCCCATTTTTCCAAGCAATTATATAGAAGGCAAACATACTGCATTCAATTATGGGCACAACTCAGTGAATATTTGTCACTATTTCACAGCCCGAGATATCAAGATTATTAAACCGCTGGAAGACGTGGAAGTGATTGAATATGAGAGCGCATCTTTTGTCTGTGAGATTTCACATGATGAGGTCCAAACCCAGTGGTACAAAGATGGCAACAAGCTGAAGGCTACTGACAATATTAAAATGCGTCAAGATGGTAGGGTGTAAAAGGGGGGGTGTCATTTTTGAGTAGAGGGGGCTGGACTGGGTGCTGGAAAACACTGAAAAAAGAACATTTGATATTGGATGCTAAGCACAAAGGTCTGACCTTCAAAATCCAGTTAAGAAGGTCCAGCAGAGAGTTGCCCTATATTTTAGGGCTGCAACTAGGCTGGGACTCTGACATGGTGGGAGCTTTAATGAAGGGAAATCTGACATTATCCCACCATCCCTGGCTGCGAACAGGGGCAGAGAATCAATTCAATTGGCTCGTAAGTGGGGGTGAACAGTTATCTAGTGTTGGGCTTTGAAGACAGTTAGGTCTACTGTTCTTCCATTCAATGGCCTGTAAATTCCTGCAAAAAGTGGACAGGCTTTCTTGAGAGAATAAAAAGAAATAAATAATTAATGTGTGCACAAGAAAAGAAAAAGGCTCCTGATCAGTCAGTTTGATCTCTCTAAGGCACGGGAATCTGTGTTTGCTGACAGTGGGACAGATCCCTCTGTTTCAAGTACTTTCCAGATGGTGGGAGCCACATTCAGCCCATCCTTGGCGGAGCAGAGGGTCGGTTACTCTTTGATGTGGGGATGTGGACTCAGAGGACTGGTCAGCCTCGCTACTGTGAAAACAGGTGGCGATGGATGCGCTGAAGCCAGATGGCAGTGCTCGCCCTCGCAGCATGCCTCAGAGGATGAGGTTGTTTTCTCAGAGGAAGATCCATGTGCTTGTATGTCTGTTCTCAGGAAAGTCCTATTCACTGACTTACTTGCGCGTGCAAGTCGAGGATGCTGCAGAGATCAAATTTGTAGCAGAAAAGGCAGAGTCTTGTGCCCACCTTACAGTAAAAGGTAATTGTGCTTTTTATGACAATAGTGCTTAAACTGTCTCTTGTTACAAACTAAGCAGTTTCCCTCACTTTTAATAGACAGAAAATTGAACGCCACCTAGAGCTTTCAGGGAAAGAAAAACTCTCTTACCTGAATTTATTTTATCAGGAAGGAGATGGTGTTTTTCTTCCTTTAGACATTAAGAGTCGTGTTTGAACTCTGAGGGAAAACACGGCAATTTGAATTTCTCTCACATTCTCTCTTTTTTATATTTAAATAGAATACAGCATTTTTTGTGTTTAACTTAACATGATAGAAAGAGAGAGAACAAACACTTTTAAATTACTGTGCTGAAGACATGCTCAGGAAATCTGAGATCAGTCCACGGTTTTGCTGCAGGACTGCTGTGTAATGCTGAGTAAACTGCTTAGTATTGCTGCAATTCAGCCCTCCAAATAGTAAAATAGAGATAACAAGGCTTCCTTTCCGGAGCTCTGTATTTCCTGTGTGTTAGTTCAGTGCGTGATATAGTGGGGATTCCTGTCATCATCCAAATAACTGTCCAGAAAGGAAGTATTGCTAATGAATTATCAGTTGGCAGCCTTCAGTACAACTGCACTGATTATTGCATATTTTTTAATTCCTTTTAGAGCTGCCTGTAAAAATTGTGAAGCCTTTGCGAGATAAGATTGCTCTTGAAAAGCACCGTGGATTCCTAGAATGCCAAGTGTCTCGTGCCAGTGCCAGAGTGAGATGGTATAAGAAGGATGTTGAAATTCACCCTAGTGACAAATATGAAATTGTGAGCGATGGTGTCTATCGGAAACTCATCATCAATGACGCAGATTATGAAGATGAGGACACGTACACTTGTGATGCCTTCGATGACAAAAGCAGTGCTCATTTCTTTGTTGAAGGTAGTAAACCATTTTTTCCCTCCACGATGCACTGGAAGAAAAATTGGCTGGTCCAGAGAGCCTTTGCCATTTACTCTAAAATGCACCACCACTTAAAAGTATTTTAATTAAGTGGTGATTTTTTTCTGAAGTCCATTGGTATTGCTTCCTTTTAGAATTATGAGGGCAGGAACATCCTGAAAAATGAATGTATAGTACATTCTCCTCAGAAACGTGGTGAAATTCCTGTTCCAGAGAACTTTACCAGATGTACTGGAGAAAGTTTGTTGTTCAGAGAAATGTTACTGTAGCTAACCAAAGACTTTCTTGTTATCACATGTGCATTGCAGTGAAGTTTCTATTCCATCTTCTAATGCCTCATATTTAGTATCAGGATAGGAAGGCGGCATTCTGGTTTACAAATAGCAGAGGGAATCAGGAGACCTTTCATGACTCCTAAATCCCCATTTTGTCTTGTTTCCTCCTTCGTCCAGAGCAATCCATTAGCATTGTAAAGGAGTTGTGTGATGAGGATGTGACTGAGCCTGAAGAAGCCAGATTTGAATGCGAGATATCCATTCCATCTGTGAAACCCCCAAAATGGTCTCTGCGTGGAGAGGTCTTGCAGGCTGGCAGAAACATTGTCATACAACAAGAAGGCACCATCCACCGGCTGGCCCTGCTGAAAACCAGTGCTGATATGACAGGCATCATTCAGTTCTCAATTGGCAAATCAAAATCCACAGCAAACCTGCTTGTCAGAGGTAATGTAATATATCCTAGTTTGAATTAGAACATGGGAGATCCCTCCTTCTCCTTGTCTGTGGAAAATAAATTTTCAGGCTTACTGTTTAATGTGCAGAGTCTACTGCTTGGGGTCCTGGAAATGTATATGTACCTGGACAGTCTGCTTAGTTCCCAGTTAGTTATTGGACGCAACGTCGGATGCACTAAATGAGATAACAGTGTCTCAGGAAGGGATCAGATTAGATGACGAGTTTGATATGGCTGGTTTTCAACTCTTGAGCTGAGACTGGTTGAGTCACAGTAAGATACCATACAATTAAAGACAAGGAGTGACTCAGGTAGCAAGGAATAGACTTTTGAGACTTTTGGTTGATTTTTTAATAGTATTATAGATTGTAGCGTTAAAAAATTTAAAGTTTTTAAGTTTATTAACACCTCTAAAATCAACTGTACATAAAAATCAAGCAAGAAATACTTTAAGAGTTGGGAGCAATCGTAATTCAGAATCTTTTTGGTCCTTGAAGTCAGAGCAGATGTCATTTGCCAGGAGAGTTTCTTTTGTCCCATTTCTGAACTAGAAATGTTTGATAGCAGATTTACTGAATCCACTTTGTCATAGACTTGATCTGGGACAAAGCTTAAAGTCTTTCTCTCTCCTGCTGTCGCCATGATAAGCGTCTCCAGTCACATCCTACAGTTCTTGTTTTGACTTTAATTCATTCTTATTCCAGCGGAATCCTCAGTTAGAGAGCATCTTAATAAACGCTGAACCAGAACTTGACTATGCATTTGATAGTCAACATGCAGTATTTTCTTATAGAAACATCATCACCAGCATTTCCTATAGATTATCATCCCCCTATAGCTTCTAACTGGCTTCTCAGCAAATCAGCCCTGTAACAGGAACTTGTAGCGTCATCTGAGCAGTCCACAAAACAGTGGCCTTTGTATTAATTGACATGAAATAGAGATTTGACATTTTTCTTCAGCTTGCCCTCATCCTTTCTTTTTTCCAACCCTGCTTTGCAGATTACAATGTACAGATCACAAGGAAGATGGAAAATAAGATAGTTTTGGAACGTCATTCAGTCATCCTGTCATGTGACTTCAAGCCTTCTCCAAAGCTTGTGAAATGGTTCAAGGGCTCCACAGCCATTGAGCCCTCTGAGAAGTACAAGATCAAGCGGGAGCAGCATTCAGCAGAGCTCAGGATCCTGAAGGTGAAGCCTGAAGATGCAGGTGTGTACAGGTGCAGGGCAGGAAATGCAGAGACCGAAGCCACGCTGACGGTTGAAGGTATGAGTAGTTTTCAGCAAAGAGGCTGGCCTGTCGCATGTCTTTCTGATTTAGTGTTTCACTCTAAGTTTGTGTTCTTGAATGGTGGTAGATTCGCGCAGTTTTCCCCTAATTTTATATGAATGTAATACTTTAAGTAAACTGACTATTTGTGGTGTGTCCTGTGCTGATATTCCACGATACTGAAATCCAGCACTTGCCATGGGTTAGGCATGTGGAAAGGCAGTGTCTAGAAAGGTGCTGGCATTGGACAGAAGTTCATGCATCTTTCTCAAGGCACTTTATTTTCCATTTCATGCTAGAAAGTAGTACACTGTACCTAAAAAACATTCATTTTGTTGAACTGCTACAGGCATCTGGTTTTGATGCAAATAGTTGTGGTTTTCATTCAGACCACTGTGGCCATTTACTGACCAGTGTGGTATCTTTCATCGTTGCTACACGTTTGTTAATTTTAATGGTGTTCTGCCTCATCCTGGAATAGCACTATTGGTTAGCCAATTCTTCACCTCTGAAAAAGCCATAAGGAAAGGTGATCCCAGTGTCACTTTCAGCAAGACTTGTAGGTAAGCCGTGACATCATTTCCAGAAGTCCATTGAGCATCTCTTGCTAACAGGTTTGGCCTAGAAAAGATTCATCCAAATGATAAAGTGATTTAATATTCCCAAAGCCTCCTCTGAGTCAGTTAGTGCCGTGAAAAACAGCATTTCATAAATGGGGTAATTACAAAGACAAAACTGTGGCCAATGACTGGAAAATAAAATAATCTAGTTCTTGTTTATCCCTGAACTTGAGCAGATTGCTTAGTCTCTTTATACTACCGGTTTGTAGCTAAAAACATCGTTTTCCCTCATCCTCCATGACTATTTGTCTGACGGTAGAGTCTGAGACAATGTAATTATAATGTGTATATGTGTATGCAGTGACTAGCACGCAGGGACTTGGAGTTGTATGGGATATTTCAAGGCCACTGTAATGCTGTTAGCGTTTTAGAAAGAATTATTTATTTTTAAACTAAAAAGAAGTTTATGTGGAAAAGAGAATAGAGGGCTCTGAGCGGCATGGCCTTTTGTAATGGATGCTTTTTTGCTGGACTGTGAAATGTAGTGAGCTGTGATGCACACGAGATCAGACTAGACCATCTAATAAACACTATGAAATCTAGTAGTGGTAACAGTACTGATTCGTGATAACAGTGGTGATGGTGCGTTTTGGTTTCCTACAGCCCGCAATGTAGAAATAATCAAACACCTGCAAGACGTGGAAACTGAAGAAGAGAGTTCTGCTGTGTTCTCGTGCGAGCTGTCCCACGATGATGAGGACGTGGAATGGTTCTTGAATGGCACCCTCCTTTATACTAACAATTTCAATGACATCAAGAACGTTGGCAATTGCTACACACTAACGATGAAACAAGTCAAGCCTGAGGATGCTGGCACCGTGACAATGAAGTCAGACAAGGTGTCAGAGAGTGCACGTCTGAAGGTGATAGGTGGGTCATGATCACACTCCTGAATGTAAATAGGAGAAGAAAGGGAAGATATGGCAAATAATGCAGCAGCAATCCTGCTCTTAAGCTTCACCTCTCTCAGGATAAGTAATGAGTTCAGTTACTTTCTCCTAGTGTAGGAGTCTACTGTAGCTGACGATTTTTTCTAAAGAAAATTGTCTTGGTATCCTTCCAAAATTTTCCATAGTTCATCATCATCCTTTTACTTTTTATATGGACAGTTTCAAGGGCAATTTCCGTTGCTTGTGGCTCTCTTCAATAGTATATTGTCTCTATAGTGTTATTACTAAAGATTCTGACTGCAAGGAGCTGAACTTCAGTGTACCTCTAAGGGTAGGGCATACCTTTCAATGTATTTGTTCTGAGTTACACTGATTTGACAATAAGAACACACTTTGCTACTGTCCTTAATATATCTTAGAGCTTCATCACACAGCTGAGCAACTGTGCTTTAGCGCATTCTCGTGCATCAGCTGAGCCACAGTAAGTCGTGTGAATTATTTTAGGGGTGCTAAAAACTTTAGGTAAAACTCTCTTATCAACATTTCAGTGAATTCATTTTCTTTTGCCATACACCTGTACGTGCATGCTCAAGTAATACAACTCAGGCAACTCATAGTGATTTGTTATACTAAATTATCTCCATCCTGTGCCTGCACAGTTCTGAAATGCAAACATCGATAGGAAATGCTCCGAGCAATTCTTTCTGTAAGTCAGAGAGACTGACACCCTCTATACCCCCTCATAAAATTAGAGAGATGATTGTCCTTTCATTTTGCCTCCTGAGCATGAGAAATTTGCTTTTCCCAGAGAGTGAGAGGAATTTAACTCTTTCACCCTATCCACTCACAGAGTCTGAAGGAATTGCTCTTCCTGCTTTCTCTTATATCTGGTCAAAATTTTTGCCTGTATTCACAAAGAGCAAATGTCTTCTGGTAAAAATGTATTTTAAATTATATAAAGGGAAACAAAGCAAAGAGACAAGAGGCAAAATGTTCAAGAGAGAGCATATAGTGTATCCTTTTATTGCTGTTGCCCACTGTGGTGAATTCTGCTTCAAGAAGTGGCAGCACCAGCTCTCCAGCTTTGGAAGAGCTGCATCCCAGTTACTACTTCTTATACGTTTTTCTTACAACCACCTGAACCCTTTTCAGTTTTAGACTGCTATGAGGAGAGAGGACATCCCTAATGAACCTCCTCTGATTCTGTGACATAATGCATAAAGGTACTTCCTTCAACCTAGTCCGTCTCGTTGTGTGTCTGTGCCTCAGAAGTATAAAGCTATCCCTTTGACCTTCACTAGGGCTCTATATGCTTGCTCCAGGCCCTGTTCCCTGCGACTGTATCTCCCATGGGATGCCAAGACCCTGTACCTGAGAGATGCTCCAACATAGAGAAAAAGGAGTCCTCACAGTCTTGTAGCTGCACAGTCATACAGCACTACACCACATTACAGCACTACACCACAATTACAGTGCTGAATATCACTTCCCCTCCATGGCCATGCAGGAGGTGTCTCCTGATCCCTGTATTCTCCCATTAATGAATTCTACTTTCTCCCAAACTCATTTAAATCATGAGGTATGAGAGGTTCTGTATTGCTTTCATCAGCTTAGGTAAAGAGTTTACTTAAGCCCTCTTTAAACACCTGGTAGCAACTGAAAACATTTCAACTCAAATACCTGGTTGTTCTCTGTTTTGTCCCTGTTAACCTTCAGAGAAGCCTGCTGTCTTCATGAAGTCATTGGACGATGTTTTTGGCGAGGAGCGAGGTGTGATTAAACTGGAATGTGAGGTCTCCAAAGAGAAGGTCAAACCCGTTTGGAAAAAGGATAATGTGGAGCTCACTTCTGGCAGCAAATACGAGCAGATTCAGTCTGGGAAGACCCTCTGCCTCCTTATCCGTGACCTCGAAAAGACAGATGCAGGTTTATACACTTGTGATATTGGCACTGATGTTGCCAAGTCAAAGGTCAGTGTTCAGGGTAAGTACTGTAGACAGTGGTGGCCAGTCAAGGGGCCCTGGAAATATGTATGGGCTTGGTCACTTTGTCTCACACCTATTCCTCCATGAACCTCAAGGGAGCTCCACTGTAAACCAGTGTTGCCAAAATTTATTACACAACCCAGTGATGTCTGAACTCATTATTCTTCTTTTGTAAGTGTGCCTGGTATTTCAATGAAAACCACTTGGACATGTCAAGAACATACAGACTATGTTTCTTTCCTGAACATCTCTAAAATGAAGAAATCCTCCCAAGAAGAGCTACTAATAATTTCTTAAGATAAATGAACCTTGTGTTTCGTGTGGTTCAGATATTCATTCAGTCTGTTGTGGGAACATAAAAGTTATAACATTGTCTGTTAAAGAACCCAATAATTCATCCTATCCTTTAATCCTTATGACTGCCTGTTGGAAGGAGGAGTATTCAAGGCTTTCAAACTCCTGTTGACAATGGGACGAATTTTGAATTTCAGTCCGTTTTGAACACCAGGAGGGATTGGACGATGAGAAAATAAACACAAATATCCTGTTTTTCAGATCAGTCCAGACAAAAGCCTTTGTTTCACTCAGCATCCCGAAGGCTTCCTGTATCTGATAGCCTTACCTCTCTCTAGCTTGTTGAATCTTGACTCTGCTCGCTGGGGCAGGCTGTTCTCCAGGCATTCCAGAGCAAAGCCAGGAGATTCACACGGTCCTTTTCCTATAGCCTGGTGGTGACTCTGAGGGGAAAATATCGGAATAATTCTTCTCCATGTCAAATGCGTCAGTAGGGAATGCAGTAGTCCCGCAAATCCTGTAGATAAGCAAGCCAGATGAGCTAAAAATGATAGCACTACTACTCAATTCAATCTTTAAAGCCTTTTCTCATCATGGTCATTGTATTAACCTACTTTTTGCCTTCCAGAACTCAACATTGGCATAACCAAACGACTGAAGAATACTGAAATCCAGGAGGGAGAAGATTGCACTTTTGAGTGTATTTTGTCCCATGAAAGCATTGATGACTTCCACTGGACACTGAATGGGAGCATAGTGGAAAGTGGTGGGCAATTTGAAGTATTTAACATGGGTCGGAAATATACACTCAATATCAAAAATGTGACTGTTGCTGATGCTGGAGAAGTCATTTTCACTGCCCGTGGTCTAACCTCCAAGGCCTCTCTGGTTGTGAAAGGTAATGAGATCAAACTGATTTCTGGGGTTTGAGTGTTTTCTTTTCATAACATATCTCAATACACCATGAGGGTAAACTCCTCATGTGATATAATTAAATAGCAACCTTCCCTGGGAGCTTGGAGGCACTGACAATTTCCCTGAAAAACAAGTGAAAAGCTTGTGAAAGCAATTTTTATAGAAATTTGAAGAGTTGCAGAAGGTACTGGTTAGTTTTGGAAGTGTACTTCTCTCTACCTCTAACTCCATTAATAATAGGCCAAGAATGATCTATTCAAATAACTGTAAGTGCAAATATCCTTTAAGTCTAAGCTGAAGGGATGATCATCATATCCAACTGTACACTCAGCTGCCACCTAGAATACGTGCACCTGAAATAGTCACCCAGTGCTCCCTGTGGAGACATTAGAAAGAAGAAATGGGTAGCTCTCAGACATGCTTCCTCTGCCACAGTTGGACACATTTAGGACAAAATGAATTGTTCCCTGAACACCATTGCCTGTACTGGGTAGATCCCTGCTGGCTATAAAGGGGACCCTGGAATGAGTGTCTCCATTGCTTATCTCCATAGTGTAGATGCCTATGTTTGGTGAGGTAAATCCCACCCTAAAAGCACCCTTCGGTAAAGACAAAATGACAGCCTCTGAAGTAGATGACACCCAGACAAGTCTGCAGTTCCTAGGTAGAATCGTTACTGTTCACTCAGAGTCCATAACTGCAATTAATATGCACTAAATAAGAACACATCTTTTTCCCTCTGTTTCCGTCATAACGTGAATCATTCATTGAGCAATGTGAAAATTTATTGTATATTTTAATTGAGAAAACAACAGAAATCCATATATTGATCATGATCATAGATTTGTATTCAGGACACTTTTCTCCTCCAGAAAAACCTGCAGAGTTTACAAAACAACTGGAGGATAAAACATCAGCAGCAGGGGAGGACGTCAGCCTGAGCTGCGAATTGTCAAAACCTAATGCAAGCATTCGATGGTACAAGGATGGCAAAGCAATCCGGAAAAGCCAGAAATATGACTTGCAGCAAGAGGGAACACAAGCCATTCTGATCGTCCGTGACTCCACAGTCAAAGACAGCGGGGAGTACCGCTGTGAGACCGAGGTCTCAAAAACTAAAGCTAGGATCACGGTGCAAGGTCAGCTGAAGGACACACAGGGGCTGGAAAGTATAAAAGTTGGGGTAAAAATCTGGTGCCTGTGGGAGATGTTCTTCTCTCCTGTTTTCCTAAATAAGATCAATTTTGGTTTTCAAAGGTTTCTATGGATTAAAAGCCTTTTAAAAATTCTGAAAAAAAGAACTTCTAGGTGCCAACAAATCTTTCGCATTACTTGAGGAGCTAATCGAAAATGTCAGTTTGAATTAGTTTTTTTTGAATATGGGTGATGAACGTTATATGCAGTCTGCCAGATGAGATCTCACAAGCACCTGTACAGTAGCAGTAAACTTTCCAGGTATCATCTGAAGATGTTTTACCTGGTATATCTTGTGGTAGGAAGCAGCCTTGGTGATCTGAGATCCTTTCCATCTCTGTTTTCTGTGATTCTATTGGTAGGGGCAGAGGAGGTTCAAGATCACTCTGTTTATGCTACGGATTATTGGGTAACAAATTCTCTCTCTCCATTTTTTTTCCCCTCCTGCAGAAAAACCCAATTACTTTGTCGAGGAACTTTCAGATATGAAAGTCAATGAAAGTGGAGTTGCAGTTTTTGTGTGCCAGAGTGAGAAAGCTGCATCCTCTGTGATCTGGAGGAAAGGCATAGCAGAACTCAGGGCAAGCAAGAAATATGAGATCACACAGAAAGGCAAACTCCTGCAGCTGACCATAAATAACTTGGAGAAAAACGACAGTGACACTTACACCTGCGACATTGGTGATGCCCAGTCCAGAGCGAAGCTAGTCGTGCAAGGTATTTATGAGAGGAATATGACTATGCATCCTGTTTCTCCATCAGGAAACGTTACCTTGGTAGAACTCGTACATTTATGACAGATGTCTGAAACTCCAGCAGTCTTGTCTCATCAGCAGCTCTGTGCATGACCTGTGTTGGCATGCGGAGGGCAAAACACCCTGAAAGGGAAGGTATTGAACAAACTAGCACAGTGCTTCTGTGTGGTTGCATGTCCAGATGGCTAAGTGTTGCAACCTATGCATGGGCAGATCTATTTCTGAGCGTATGGCTGCTGATTCCTGGCTATATCTCACTCATGGTATATATACTGCATAGGACGTATGGGAAAAACGTAGCAGCACTGGGAACTGGACGTGCAGAGCAGTCTGTTGATTTGAAGTATTTACACCTGGAATACTTTAGGACTGATTTAAAAAACAAAATGCTGATATGAGGAGGCGCTGGTGTTTCTTTGTGGATATATGATTCACGGTACCTGCTACTAAAGGAGGGAAAAATTATTTTGCCTCTCGGCTTGTCTCCGTGTCCCTTGATGCCTCTTTCCAGTAGCGGCCTCTAAGAGAGGATGGGTAAATGAGTGGTCCAGTGCTTGTTGTATGTTATTAGTGTCCCTCTGTGCTTTAGAGGTGAATTGCACCCTCCGACTGAAAAGTACGACCCAAGCAGGTTTTGTTTGATGTTGCAGGCAGCAAATGAACTGAGGAAGGGATGAGGTGGCCAATGCATATAGCAGGGCAGTACGTAAGGGGAATAAATGAAGCTGGGTTGTTAGTGCTTCTCACAGTCTACTCATTGCAGTCCTAATTGGGAGAAACTCTTGAGATGAAATAGATGAAGCAATGAAGACACTAGGAAGAACAATTTGAGAATAGGCCCATGGAGCTGCGGTGGCAGTGTCATATGAAGTTATTAAAGACTTGGGGGTTAAGCCTGAGTCCTCCACCTCTAATCATTTGCCACTGCAGCTTTGAGAAGCAATGAGATGCACTTAATCCCCATTGTTGCCTCGGGATTTGAGCACTCTGAATTTGGTTTGAGGTTTCTAACACTTTTTTGAGTAAAAAAAGATCAAGATCAAGATTATTTACCTGTAAGATGTAACACGTAAAATAAACATGGGTCATGAAGAACATGGCAGCTTCATATTTGCAATTCAGTAAAAATTTCCTCTGCTGGTTTTGTATCTAGCATTAGGTATATCTTTGTATACAATGATAACCTTGTATATGTGTGTGCGTGTCTATCCACACTTATATACATACATACATACATACGTACATGTATATATATATACACACAAACGCATGCGTGCAGTTTTCCAGGCCTGTTGTTTTGTATTTCCTTTTACTAAAGTGGCACCCAGACACACTCTGTTTTCCACTGTTTATGACTGGGCTGAGCTCAAAGACGTTGGGAGTTGAGTGGTCATATCCCATAGAAAGTTAGTTATATTGGCTCCAGAAAAATACAATAAGCAGAGGTAGTTATCATAGGATCATCTGCTCACTGTTGTCTAGGACATAGTAGCGCTCTCAAAGCCTCACCCTGTCCCCGTTCCAGGTAGTTCCATTAGGAGAAAGGTTATAATATTGGATTTACAATGTGCTGGGTACTCGTTCTACTATATGTGTTTTATTATTCTGAAGTTTTCTTCATCCTGTTTTGGTGTAAGTCCTGTAAATATGTATATTATCTTCCTGTGAATAACTGCTTTGTTCAATAACAAGGGAATTATATTTCAGACTTCATTATCATGATGGTTTTTCTTTTTTCTGTTGTGAAATAGTCACACAAGAAGTCTTGGAATTTTCCATACCAATTTTCGCGCTAGAAGGTGGAGATTCCAGTAACAGATGTATCTGTATTCCTTTCAGGCCAGAAAGTGCTAATAACAGAAGACCTGGAAGATGTCAATGTATTAGAAGGAGAATCTGCCATGTTCAAATGCAGAATCTCTCCCGTAGACTATAGCAAAGTGCAGTGGTTTTTGGATAAAACCCCACTCCATACCAATGAACTTAATGACATCCAGTCTCAGCCTGATGGATATCACTTGCTAACCTTGAAAAAACTCTCACTGAAGGACTCTGGGGTCATTACATTTGAAGCTGGTGATAAGAAAACATCTGCCAATTTGGTTGTTAAAGGTAATTCAAGAATAAAAACTGCAGGAAAGTTTAGAATGAGTAGAAATAACTGCTAGATAATGTAGATAGGTGAAAAAAGAAAGAAAAATGCTACAAGATAGGCTTTATCGTTCATTTTTCTGTATATGTTCAAGAATAGTGTTATGTGTATAGTAAAGCTAGAATTAGGGAACATTTTGTAATCCTGGAGAACTGTCAGTACATTTATTGGACCTTAGATGGGAATATTATAGTATATTGATGGTTCATTGGGAGCCTCCACCAGTCTTCCTTGAGCAGAGATAGGATGGCACTATGATGATCGGTGAGAAGACTTGCACATTCATAAGCCTGTACTAGAAGACAGCAGAAGACAGCAAGAAGCTGTTCTTTCTTTTCACGATCTCAGTAGAGGTTTCTTCCTCCTTCCTCTTCCACAATAAGTGCCTGCTCTACGCTACCTCATCTTAAAGTCTGGAATCCTAGGCTGTGGTAGAGCCTGAATAGGAATCTCCATTGGGACCCTTTCACTTGCAGCTATGCTTTCCTCTCTGGGTTGGTTCTGTGCAGTTTTTTAAGGTTATACTTCATATCTGATAGCAATATGTTGTTGCTTCTTAAAAGGAGAAATTAGTACCGCTGGTCATGACAGAAGATGCTTTGTCATTTTTTTGTGTCCTCTGTGTTATGTATGAGACCTCCTCAGAAAGTTTTTGCAGCTTTTTATGTCTGTGGTCTAGGTCTGTCCACCAGTCTGCAATGCAATTCAGTGTCTCCCATCCCTGACCAACTTCTGAAAGTTGTATCACCAGGAGCTTCTTCAGCAGTTGGTACAGTGATGGAACTGACCGCTGTTGTTCTCTGTGTTTTCTGTCTTGCTTCATTGATCTTGCTGGGATCGCAGAGTGATATGTGGAAGCTGAAGGAGGAAATTTCCTCTTACGTCCAGGCCCTTGCAGAGTCTCTGCATTATGTTGCACCATTTCTGTTTTCCTTTCCCTGTTGAGAGCCCAGGGAAGCAAAATTTGAATAACTGAGTAACTGGCCACTGCTTAAGATTTTTCAAGGCTGAACTTTCACACTATTCCTTGCAGTGTTGAAAGCAATTACGTACTCTTTGTGTCATTAGTAGCAACAGCAGTGTTTAATGCTGTTTAATTACTGTTTACAACAGTAATAGTGGCAATGTCTTCAATACTCCAAATAGCATTTAAAAGAAAAAAAGTTTTTGATCTTAAGCCTTTTTTTTTTTTTTTTGCTGGTGTAGCATGCTGGCAATCAGGTGTGGACTGTAAAAATCTATTTAGGTTGCTTGCTAGTGCTTTTTTTTCCCTGTGTTTTTTCTATCTGAACTAAAAGGGTTGAAACAAAAAGGAAAAAAGTGATTTCCAAGCTCTTGCATTTCCTTAAACATTTGCAACGTTCCCTTTCAGAGCTACCCGTTCTTTTCAAGCAAGAGCTCCAAAATGAAGAAGCTAAAGAAGGAAATCAAGTCAAACTGACCTGTGAGCTCAGCAAACCTGATACGCCAGTGAAATGGATGAAAGGAGACACTGTTCTGTATGCCAGTGAGAAGTATGAGTTTAAGCAAAATGGTACTGTGGCAGAACTCATTATTCGAGACGTCACGTCAGTAGACTCTGGGGACTATACCTGCACCGCTGGGGACCTGAAGACTACTGCTCGGCTGAAAGTAAATGGTAGGCAGAGTAAACACATGGCAATACTTTCCTAAGGCATTGTGTAATCGAGCTGCTATAAAAAATCAACACTTCTTTATTGCAGCAGTGTTATCTGTAAATTCATGGTTAAATGTTAACAATAATATGTATACTTGTAAGTACGTTTATGTGTTTCTTGAATGTGGTTTCACATTATGTGTCTGGAATTTTAGATCTATAACTTCCCACTGAGCCAGAAATAAATAAGGGTAAAGGTTCGTGTTCTATACCCTACGTGCCAGAGTTCCCAAACTATTAGCTATTTTACATGGCTGTGGTTAAGATCGGAATTAGAACTGGAGATCAGGAGCATGGGAGCTCAGCGTGAGGGAAAATATGGAAACATAAGATGGAAGAGTGGGCAGGAATCCACCACAGTCAAGTCCAGTCCCTGGCAAATTGCAGGTGGCCAAGTGATTGATGTTTAGACCCAAGAAGTCCCAAAAGCATCCTCTGTGAAGGCCCTCAGAAACCATCAATACTCCCCACAGCCCTTAAACAAATACAATACCTTTAGTGAAATAGAGTGCTGGCCTCAAAAAGTAGTACATGGCACAGAGGAAAGCAGGAGAGATACAGGGCACGAGTAGTGTCTCAGAGCCCTGCAGGGGCTGGGGATGTTTTAGGTGAGGATGCCCAGAGAACTGTGAAGTGGTCCCTACAAAAGATAAGAGAAACCTCCCTCATACCCCAAGGAAACCCTAATGATCTTGTAATATCTGGAGGAGAGTTTTCTTCCTGCTCCTAAACCGAACGACACTGTTAGGAAGAAACCACTCTGCTACTGCCTAGCCAAAGGAGGATCTAGGACTGCTCTGCTCTTATGAAGGAGGACTTGCTGGAAGTCTGTTGGTTTTAAGGAGTGATAGCTGTCGTGGAGTGCTTATTGTACAGCGGGAGAAGAGGGCACATACCTGATCTCTGCGTTTCTGTGTTCTAGCTCTGCCTGTCCTTTTCAAACAAACCCTTGAGAACACAGAAACGGAAGAGGGAAAGACTGTCTCTTTGCGCTGTGAACTCACAAAACCTGACACACCTGTGGTGTGGAAGAAAGGAGGAGCCGTGCTCCAGGCAAGTGCCAAATACGAAATGAAGCAGACGGGGACAGTGACAGAGCTGATGATTCATGATGCAGAGCCAGAAGATGCGGGAAGGTACACCTGTGACACTGGAGACCAGCAGACCACTGCCCAAGTCAAAATCCATGGTAAGAATAAGATACTTGCTTGTGACCATTTGTTGTTGTTTTTGCCATGGTCCTGCTAGGTCCTGCCAATAAAATATTCCTGATATGGTAAAATGTCTTTCCTCGCTTCTGAAATAACTACTCTATTTTCTGCTCTGGACAGAGACACTTGTCTGAGCTCTAAGCCAGGAGGTAAGAATGGCTTCAGCTGTGTATTTTGTTAAAGACTACGCACTTCTTTCCTTCAATTTTTCATATGTCTATGACCAACAGTATTTGGCAACAGAGGAGTTATTACTTTGATATCAAATTATTGTGAAATAATTATTTTGTTTTTATTTCCCTCCAATTTCATGGTGTGCTAATATAAATATAACTAAAGTCCTGGAAATGCAGGTGAGTCACAGTTAATTAGCTGTACCAAGGGAATTGTTTTTGGCACTGTTTGAGTCCCAAATGGCATAAGCGATCGGTACTGCTGCTCCTTAAATAAAATGAACACTTCATCCCTCAGCCATCTGTGCGCTCATCAAAGAAGATCTTAAGAGCTCGGAAGCTTTGGAAGGGGGGACAGCCACCCTGCGCTGTGAGCTGAGCAAAGAGGCCCCTGTGGAGTGGAGGAAGGGGCACACTGTTCTCAGACCAAGTAAGAAGTACAGGATGAAACGAGAGGGCACTGTGGCTGAACTGCTGATCCGTGATCTGGACTCAAAGGATGCTGGAGACTATACATGCATAGTGGGAAACGAAAAAACCACAGCAGCCTTATCAGTGAATGGTAAAAAGTCAGAAATAACCCTTGAAACTCCGGGACATTTCTGTCCATCCTCTCCCTCCTTCTTTCTGCCTATTTCCTGCCAAAACCTACCTTTATATCCTTCCTTCTACTTTTTCACCCTTATTTTTCATGTTACCGTGTCACTGCTTTCTCCTTTCCCCATCCACTGTCAGTGTTCAGTTTGCTCTGTGTTGCATGTATGTGTGTTGTGCTGTCTTCCTAGAGACCTTTCTCGAATGAATGGTGCTGACGTGCTTGTATGTCATATTGAATTAGTGTGGAAACATAAGATTCATTGGGATTTTCTGTTAAGGAGGGTTTAACACCCTTAATGGTGAGAATGAATTTGTCGATAGTATGTGTGATCCAAATCAAATCGGAGACTGATTCCCAAAGAACAGTTCACTTGAGGGATTTCTTTTTTCAGCCAGAGAAATGACAGGATGTGTTTGAGGATAAGAGTGGTGGAATAACGCCTGGATAGTTATATGATAAATCACAGTTCAGCCTTTTACCAGAGGTGTTGGGGTAGGACCTTGAGTTGCAATCCCTATTCATTGTGCATCTCTCAGCCCTGCCAGTTCATTTCAAAAAAGAACTGAAGAATGAGGAAGCCACAGAGAGCGGAACAGCCACTCTGCAGTGCGAGCTGAGCAAGGCAGTTGACTCGGTTGAGTGGAGAAAGGACGAGAAGGTGCTGATGCCAAATGGCAAATACAAAATGAGACGGGAAGGCCGTTTTGCTGAGCTGGTAATCCAGGATCTAGACTCGTCAGATGCTGGGAGTTATACTTGTGCGTGTGGAGACCAGAAGACAACAGCTACTTTGCGAGTGAATGGTAAACCTTCTACCCGTGTTCATCGTTCAGCCCCTTCCTGAAACCTAGTGTGTTTGACACTCATTGTTTCCTGATGGCCTCACTCATGGTCTTCTGATGACCTGTCAGTATGATTTTTAGAGAGGTTTCATGTTCTTAGCTCTGTGGCGACAAATGAGTCACCCTGTTGCAGAACATTCCCCTTTGCTTTTTTGCTCTGACACTGCACAGCTAGGTTCTATACTGTTTTCTCTCATTTCTTTTTCTTGACTGTAGGAGTTTCCCCCCGTCCCCAACACCTGCTACTATATTCATCTAGCAGTAACGCATGCTTACTTAAATGTATACACTTGCAGTCTGGTAAGTCGCGGAAAAATTCAGTTCATTTCATTCTAGCTCTGATTCCATCTCTGTTCCATCGTTCATCCTTCAGCCTTGCCTGTCCTCTTCCAAGAAGAACTGGTGAACAAGGAAGCTACAGAGGGTGAAGCAGTCGCTTTGCACTGTAAACTCAGCAAGTCAGCCCCAGCTGAATGGAGAAAGGGGCAGCAGGTTCTCAAGCCAAGTGAGAAATACAAAATAAAACAGGAAGGCCCCTTTGCTGAGCTGATGATCCAGGATTTGAATTTGACAGACGCTGGTGATTACAGCTGCATATGTGGAGATCAACAGACTACAGCTGCGGTGATAGTAAATGGTAAAAAGAAATCCAAGACGCATGCCTCAAGTAAACCTGTGTATTCCAGACTCTCTTCCTCTTTTTCTCCTATTACACCTTTTTCCTGTGTATTTTCCAACTCCTCCCTTGCTGATCGATTCTTCCTCCCCGTTTCTCTCTCCTTTCGCCTCCTCTCTCCTTGATGTGCTGTTTGTCTTCATAGACACTACGTTTGGATGGCAAGTGGAGTACAGGTTCCCGATTCAACACCATCTCCTAGTCTAGCGTAGCTGCTTGTTTAAAAGTTTTACCATAGGAATTGTCCTAAAAGTGGAGCTGATATTTACTTTGTGTTACTTAGAATATTCCTCCTAAGGCAAATAAGTTTTTGTTAATGTGTGATAATACACGCTGACTGTCTTAATGAAACTACAGCCTTTCTGGGCTCCTGCAGTTCCCACCCCTTTTTTATCAATTATTTTTTCAGTCTCCCAACACATCTTATCTCTGCAGAAAGCTGACAGCATGTTTTTAACTGTTTTATTTGAAGGAGATCTGTTTATAAAAGTACAGACATGCAATAAATGAGGCATTTCTGTGGAACTGCTGTTTCTCTCAAAGGAAACAGAAAGCTTTGAGCCTCACATTGAAATGTGGCCTCTGATTTCATGCCTATACTTTTTGATGCATATAATAAAGAGTGGTGACTTGATCTTGTCAACTAAGCTTTGAGCCTCACATTGGAATGTGGCCTCTGATTTCATGCCTATACTTTTTGATGCATATAATAAAGAGTGGTGACTTGATCTTGTCAACTAAGCCTGCAGATAGAGAGACATGCTTTTGAAGCAAGTTTTAAAGGGTGAGGACAGAAAATTAAAAGGCAAATCGAAATCTCTTGAAATACTAGAGATGTTGACAAAATCCTGAAGTGTAAAGGTCTTGTGGCATCACTGACATGCACATTCAGAGAAATAGGAAAGGAGAGCAAGTTCATGGGTCCGACGATCTCAGCTTTGATGCCCTGTCCATATTGCGTTTACTCTGCAGTCCTGCCTACTCTTTTCGTCAAAGAACTGGCAGATGAAGAAGCCACAGAAGGTAAAAGCGTCTCTCTGCACTGTGAGCTGAACAAGGCTGCCGCTGACGTGGAGTGGAAAAAGGGATTCAAGACCCTCAAATCAAGTGACAAGTATAAAATGAAACGAGAAGGTGTCATTGCTGAGCTCGTAATCCAAAACGTAGACACGACGGATGCCGGAAATTATTCCTGTGTGTGCGGAGACCAGCAGACCATGGCAGTTTTAACAGTACATGGTAAAACACACAAAACGAGAAACGTACTGAAAGTAACAATAGTGTTTCCTCTGTTCATTTGGAGAGGGACCCAGTGTGCCCTGCCACCTCCTTCCTTCTGTCGGATCCTTATCCTCAGCTCACTGACGTCAGGGGAACGCTCCCGCTGACGTCAGTGTGGCTTGGATGCGCGGCAGAAGGAGGGTATCAATACAGAAGCTCAGGGGGACAGATACAAAACCAGGATTGCTGCCACCGCTTTACTGCTTTCCTGAGAGCCCATCATTTTGTTTTTCCCTTTGGAGCATTCCTTATCGGGGTCCTCATTAAGCTGAAGACCGTTAAGATGCATTGCCTTAGAAGGACTGTGACTTTGTGATTTTTAGGTTTCAAAAAATTCAGAGAGATTAGGTTTTTCCCCAATAAGCTTTTTTCAGGGTACTTGGAATCTTATTCCCATACGTCACACTTGGACGGCGAGGGGCTTTTATACGTATGGGCCAGTTGCCATTGTATTCAGTTACTCTTGTGTAAAGCAAGCGGAAACCTTCTAGCTGCCAGTCTTTCTCAGTGAGCGCTTTGATTTTTACTGAAATTGAGGTGTTTGAAAGAGCATATCAGTTCAGGTAAAAATGTTTATTTTCCCACCATGTATTAAAATGAATATTTTAATTTCAAACGGACATTTTAGAGTGAAACTTCATTGTTTCATTTTTTTTTATGTCAAATATCCTTTCATTTGCCTAAATAGATGAAGGCATAGCAAACATCTTCCTTTCATTGCAGTTTAAAAGTTCTTCTGAGAAAAACAATTTTTTTTCAAAAATTTCCAATTAAGATTTATTTTTTACTTGAAATTTCACAGGAAAAAAATTGAGTTTTCTACTGATGTTTTCTACTTCTATTGATTTGTGACTCTGAGTACATGTAAGGTATCTCTATGTATTACTGCAAATATTGAGTCCTTTTCTGGTGATAAGATTTCTTTCCTCATTCTGATTCCTGGAGGCTTTTGACAGTTTATATCCTTGTATTGATGTATCCAGTTCAGGATAACAGGGAAAAGGAGGATGATGTTTAATTTTAACTCTTTGAAGCATTACGTCTCACTGCCCGTATTGCTGTCTCTCAGCTTTACCTGCATTTTTCAAAGAAGGATTGAAGAACAGAGAAGCCACAGACGGTGCAACAGCCACTCTGCACTGTGAACTAAGCAAAGCTGGTGTCCCAGTGGAGTGGAAAAAAGGGGACAAGACTCTCAAACCAAGTGATAAGTATAGGATGAGACAAGAAGATACTTCTGCAGACCTATTGATACGAGATCTGGAGGTAGAAGATACAGGAGAATATACTTGTGTGTGTGGAGACCAGAAGACCTCGGCTGTATTGACAGTCCATGGTAAAAAAAAAAAAAAAGAACCTCTTTATGGTAGCAGTATCTCAGAGAACCTCCTTTCCTTTGAGATGTCCCTTTCCTGCCTGCCTTGATGTTTTGGTTCTGCAGCCTTTTCTCAGTCTGCTGTCTCGTATTTGCTCCCATCTCCCCTTGTCTGTCAGTATGGAACTGATGGCCTCATAGCAAAGTAAAGAATAGGTGTGAGAGTTTCCTAGCCAAGTCCTTTTTGTATGTTTTTAAAGTGAAAAAAGCATCCATATGTAAAGCCAAAAGTGACTAGGCCTCTAGCAGCATGTTTTTCAGAGGCTTTGGCACTTGCATCTCACTCCTGTCAGTGGATTTCAATGCTTAACTTGAAAGAAAGTTTATGAAAAAATGCTGAGCTCAATTAGAAAGAGGGTTGTTTTTTTTTTGTTTTTTTTTTTTCATTCAGGAATGAATGACTGTCCTTCCTTGCAGGACTTGCAAAACTGTGACGGCACAATTCTGTCTTCTCTTAGATTTCTCTGCATGCTTTTCCTTCCTCCTCTTTATCCTGATCAAATGCACTTCTGTTCTTCCCTTCCTCTAAACTAGCATGTTCTTCCCTATGCCAGTCACTTTCTTTTAACTGTGTTTGGTGATGCACCACAAGACAACTTGCTGAATGCTGCTGAAAAACCTTCTTTTACCCCAATTCCTGATATTATTTCCAAGGGCATAATGACTCTTACGGCTTAAAGGTGCACCTAAAGTTAGTTTACCATTTTTTTTCTGACCAAGAAAGGTAAATTATGACATCAGGGAAGGTATTTCTTGTAGAGATCTGCAGACAACTAGGCTATCGCCAAGGGCAGTGACTTTCAGTCAAGAGATTAGTGTTCAGGACAGATGAATTCAGACTGCAGTAGATACAGAGGACTACTGGATCAGCTGGGAAATGGTGAGCATGCTGCATGAGTTAGCATTAGAAGACGGTTATTGTGACAATTATTCCTCTAAAGTCCCACAGTAGTTTCCTAATAGGTGCAGTTTTCAAGCTAGTGCAGGATCATTCTTTAAGGAGACTGTATGGTTTAGCTTCTTCTAATCGTGAAGGACAGGGCTCAGAACCTACTCCTGTGTTCCTCAGGGTCTGATTAATGGTTCTGATGTACTCTTTGTTTATATTAAATCCCTTAGCTTTGCCTGCATTATTCAAAAAAGAACTCACTAATGTGGAAGCCACGGAAGACGGGACAGCTACTCTGCATTGTGAGCTAACTAAATCCGCTCCAGTGGAGTGGAGGAAAGGGCAAAAAGTGCTCAAGCCTAGTGACAAGTACAAAATGAGAATGAAGGATACCATTGCTGAATTGGCAGTCCATGGCTTGGAGGAGCAAGATGCGGGAGATTACACATGTGTGTGTGGAGACAAGACAACTACTGCGTCATTGACAGTGCATGGTAAAATACATAAGTTTAATAGGGATTTTATGCGTTGTCATCTGTGATCCCAAGCAGGATCACAAACTGGTCTTGATTCCATCTCTTATTTTAAATTTTATAACAGCTCTGCCAAGCACTGGGGATATCTTTCCCTCACTTGGGACTGATAAATAGCATCATACAGCCTTTTCAGTCCACGTTCTTTCCTGTTAATAGATTCTAGAAGCAGGTAATGAAGACCTTGTTGAAGTCATAAACAGCACTTAAAGGAGGAGATTTCATTTATTTTTTCTTAAATGGAATTAAAACGTGGTCCGTTGTGATAAAATTGAGAAAGAGGTAGGAATGATATACCGCATCTTGGAGTTTAAGTAACACAGGGCGTTCATTCGAAGTGTTCATCTAATCTTAGCACAAGATAGAGCTGTGTAGAGTTCCTTGAAAGTTCAGGATGAGCCTTCTGTTGTTTATATCTTAAATGCCTTTAAAGCACTTTCCAGTACTGAGTTTTACAATACTGATTTCCAGTTCGGTTGTGACGTGGCAAATGTGGCCTATTGCAAAGCAAAAGGCAGGGGTGCCCCTGAAATCATTGTGGTTTGCACTCAGGTACCATATATTTTAATGGAAACTTTTAGAGATTAAGGATTTTAATACAGTGGAGCAATCAAGATGCAATATTTCCTCAATTTTAAATTATTCTCTTTTCACGTATGATCTTCAGCCCTTCCTCCATATTTTAAGAAAGAATTGAAGAACACGGAAGTCACAGAAAGTGGCGTGGCCACTTTATGCTGTGAACTGAACAAGCCTGCAGCTTCCGTAGAATGGAGAAAAGATGACAGAGTCCTGAAGCCAAATGAGAAGTTCACCATAAGACTTGAGGGCTCAGTTGCTGAGCTGATGATTCGCGATTTAGATCTGACAGATGCTGGAGATTACACATGCCGCTATGGAGATCAGGAAACCACAGCTGCACTAAAAGTGAATGGTAAAAAATATATTCCCACTTGAGGGCATTATTTGCAGCCATCTGTGTTTTAAAAGCATGGTAGTATCAGCTTCGAAACTGCAGCCCTGTTTCTGATCAATTTAGAAAACTGTGGATGGACATGGAAATAAGGGACTAAATGGGCTGGTCGGTATGAGGTACTGGTCAAGTGTTCATTGCAAAAAATCCAGGTTCTGTTGGGATATTCATCTTGGTTCCAATTTGTTTTAATGTTCATGTTATGTAGTAATTCCTAAAAAAGGAATATCATACCATCATCATGTTGGTTGTAATGACATTACAATCCTAAGGCAGCAAATATTGCAGTTTGACGATGGGATATTTTTGAGATAATTTTCAGTGTGGTATTAAATATTCCTTGAGGCTAATCGGACAGTTAAGTTTTACTTGACCATGTTCTGAGGAGAAATCCCATGGAACAGTGAGATTGATGCCTCGGATGGATACCTATCATTTACAAACTTTTTTAGTAATGGTCTGCACTGCGATAGAGCTTAGACATTCCAGTTAGGCTTTATTTTCCGTTGTGCTAGGCAGTACCAAAAGTAAGGCAGGACTCAGTCCTGCAGAGTTTGAAGAAATCGAAACTGCTATGGTTCTCTATTTGCATAAGAAAAAGCCATGCCTTGTGAACGAGGTGTTCTCCAGCTTTCTCATTATGTGGCTCTCAACTGATTAGAAATCCTACGCGATTAGGGAAAAGCTTTGCTTGTCACATGCGGTCCATGGACCACAGATAGATAAATAGTTATTTGGATAGCTGCTGTGGTCATATATTCTGTTCATTTTGAATTCTTCAGCCTTGCCCGTACACTTCAAGGAAGAAATGAAGAATGAGGAAGCCACAGAAGGTGGAACAGCCACACTGCAATGTGAGCTGTCCAGGCCTGCCTCTGTGGAGTGGAAAAAGAAACATAAAGTGCTAACATCAAGTGAGAAATATACTATGAAGCAGGAAGGTACCACTACACAACTACTGATCCATGCTTTAGAAGTCAAGGATGCTGGGGAATATACCTGCGTGTGTGGAGACAAGAAGACTACTGCAGCGCTGACAGTGCATGGTAAAATACCTGAATCGAAAAGTCAGATTTTAATGTGTGACTTTTCTCCTACCTCCTCTGGAAACCTCAATACTGACTCAAAATGAATTCTTTCTCTAATCTTGCCTTCATTAATTGTTTCTGTGATGCATTTCTTGCCTTTTTTTCTGATTTCCATCTACTTCTAACTAGGATTCTAGTTTCATTGATTACACCAACATTTTTCTCTGTTTTCCTCTTCCTGCTCTGGTGATGCATGGTTACACTGCTTTACATCACACCTAAAGCTGAAGGATTCCACTTGCTTGCACTGGAAGCTTGTTTTGCTTTACTAGCTTTGAACTTGAGCCAGGAGAGATGGAATAGCTGGAGCATTCATTTTTCTTAAACAGGGTGATCTTAGATTTCAAGTTATGTTAAGATTTGACAGGTAATTTTTAGTAACAAGCAGAACTTGATTCAATGCAACCTTTTTATATAACTCTGACCGAGAGTCCTGTAGATTTGTATTGTTATTGCATTTTATTACTCAGCGTTACAGTGGAGAGTACTTCACGGTCCTCAGTCAAACTCATCTGCATGCTTCCACTGGAAGAGAAGGAAGCATTATTTCCACAGCCAGCATGCAGACGACAGTGAGCAGTAGACCTACATCCCTCTTTCTCACCTGGAAAGTCAATTAATTTCTTTGCTGTACTACCAAGACCTTTTATCTTGATATTTACCAATAAAAAAAAAGGATAATTTCAGTCTTGAACCCCCAATTTAACTATAGAAAATAGAACTAGAATGGACTCTACAGATTTTCTAGTCCACCCTTGAGCCTGAAGGCACCTGTGCTTAGCCTGTGCTTAAAAACCTCCAGTGGTAAAGAATCTGCAGTACCCCTGGACAACTCATTCCACAGTCTCACTATCATTGCTGCTGGAATATTCTTCCCAGTGCCAAACCAAAATCTTTCTTGAGCTGGCTTAAGTCATTACTTCTTGTTCCATCTTCTGTGGACATGGAGAAATATTTATTATTATCCTCTTTCTGAAATTCTTTTACAGATTTGAAAACTTTTGTCATGTCTCCATTTTGACTTCTCTTTTCTGCACTAAGCAACTTCAGGTCTTTTACCCTTTCTTCATAGGTCATTTTTTCTAGACTTCTGCTCACCTTTGTTGCTTTCTGAACCATCTTTGGTTGATCCACACCTTTCTAGAAGTGTGTTGCCCAAAAATGCTCCATCCGCGGTTTTACTAGAATGGAGTAGGATGGAAGGACTGCCTATGCCTTGCATTTGACGCTCCAGTTTATATATCCTATTGGGATTATTGCTTTATTCACATGGGAATTGCACTTTTGACTTGAATTCACTATGTGATCTCTTGTAACCCCACATCCCTCTCTGCGGATCTGCTGCCTATTGCTCCCCATCTTGTATTTGTGTTTTTGGCTGTTCCTGAATATATTTTGCACCTGCTCTTGCTGAGTTGCAGCCTCTTTTTCACACTACTGTTTTGTCAAGATCCTCTTCATCCTAATCCTGTCTTGCAAAGCATTTTAGGTTTCTCTCCCTTCGCAGCTTAGTATCATTTGCAAATTTAATAAGACTACTCTGAATTTGATTGTCCACATCACTAAAGAAAATTCTGAATAGTATTGGGCTCCAGGCAGCATCTTGAGGAACTCTGCTCAATTTGTTCTTCCATTGTGGGTGTAAATCGCAGCTGAATATTCTTTGACTGCAGTTTTCAAAGCAGTAGTCCTTCCTACTGTGTAGTCCCATCTAGACTTAAGTCAGGGTAAGAGCTCTGCTGAAATAAATGTGTACAGCATATAGCATGTCTCTGTATCTGTAATATTAAAGAAGAAAAAGGAATGAAACACTGTGACATTCCCCAAGTCACCTATTATCAACTTACTTTCCTGACAGAATGGTAGACCGGCTTCTTCCTTGGTTTTTCCTTCCTACTAATCTACTTACAGAATATCATCATATTATTTCTGTTTCCATGTAGTTCAGACTGGCTAATCTTCCTATTATTTGCCTACTAAAATTCTGAATTGTGAGCAGAGGCATGGAAAGCTCCTAGAGTAGTGATCTCATCACTCTGTTGCTAAATGGTTTGGGCTAAAGCTTACCTCTTACGTCTGGAGATAAGCCATTGACTTCAGCATCATTTTGCAGATTACCGTTTGGCCCCTCCCTCCCTTTGCCCATCAGATGACAGAGCCCAGGAAGCAGGAACTGCCTCTGAACTCCTTGAGACGTACTTGGCCTTTCTCATTTTCGCCTTACACTCTGTAATAATTATTTCATGCTCATTTATATCTCCCACATTTACCTCCTCAAGAGGTCTCTTGAGTTTCAGGCCATTGAAGAGCGTGTGATTTAGGCACGCTATTCATGATGTTCCCTTGAGGCGAGATAGTTTGTAATTAATATTATAGTTATTGCCCTTAATATTTTGTTTCTTCAGGAAGTTACCACTTTCTCAGACTGCCTTGTCCTGTAAGTTTGCTTTTGCTTGATCATAAGTAAGAATTCTTGAACTTAGTGAAGCTTGCTTTCTTGCTGCAAATTGAATTTCTTTTTACTCTTCTCCAGTATTACTGTTCCTAAAAACTATGAGCTCTTCTGCTTCATAACTGGTGTCAGCCGTTATTCTCCTCATCCATGGTCTCAAATATTGATTTCCTGCTGGTCAGAGTCAGAACTTGGACATCCTTCTCTCCTGTTCTTTCCTGCACGTTCAATGTACAAAAGTGGTCCGCACCCCAATCCAAAGATTTAGCAGACATTGTCACATCCTATTGCGCCCCCAACTAATATTACCACATCACCATCCATTCTTGCGCTCCAAATGATTCTATTAACTGTTTCAAAAGGGGATAGGTATGAGGATACACCTGAACTTTGTGCTGTGAGGGTCTTTAGCAGGTGTCCACAATGGGAGACATCCTTCCTCTTTTTCTTTTTTATTGCTTTTGGTGTGATTCTGCATCTCAGCTTTATTCTGACCCTTGGGCAAGGTCTCAAGGTATCCTTAATGCACACGAAGCAAAACTTTTTTTTTTCCTTCCCTTTAGCTTTTCTTCCTGACCGTGGTGTAACTGCTATATTATTTTCTCAGGCTGAATGATACTGAGGAAGTTAGAGCTTTGACTATACATGAAGGCTTCGTCCCATTCTTGCTGTTTATTCTCCATACATCTCTAAGCCAGTCAGCAAATTTAGCTACTGTTTGTAACCCTTTTATGGCTGTGATACAAATTAATATGTTCCTTCTGTGAGGTGATTCTTTAGTCAATAATTAGGCATGGACAGATATTGGTAAACACTAGGTTCATTTTTTTGGTGGCTGAGAACTGCAGGTCATGAAAATGTTTACTTCTTTATTCTCAGCCCTTCCTGCTCTCTTCAAAGAAGAATTAAGGAATGAAGAAGCTACTGAGGGTGGAGTAGTCAGTCTGCGCTGTGAGTTGACCAAAACCGCTGCAGTGGAGTGGAAAAAGGGACACACAGTACTCAAACCTAGTGAGAAATACAAAATGAGGCAGAAGGATGCCACTGCAGAACTGGTGATCCATAATCTAAATGAGAACGATGCTGGCGATTATACTTGCGTGTGTGGGGACAAGCAATCCACAGCTTCCTTAGCAGTATACGGTAATAACCATTATCATGTAGATGTCCTAATTATCAGGCTTATGGGTTGGATTCATTTTTTTGTCTGTGTCCATTGTCATCTCTGCATAGTTTCTCTGAGTCTGACTTTGCATGTCATGGTCATGAGAATTAATTCGCGTTTTATGGTTTAAGGGAAAGACCTGCACCCCAACTTTTAATACAATATAAGTATTTGGGGCCTGATCCTCTGGCGAGGTACATGTGAGATCGGGCCCTAAGGCCTTTTCTTCCCCTGCCCCGGCCCTTCACCTAGAGGCTGTGTTTGCTGCTCCGTTTTAACCCTCTGTCCGTTACATCCTCAGCTCTACCTGCACGCATTAAGGAAAGCCTGAAGGACGAGGAAGTAACAGAAGGCCGAACAGCCACTCTGTGCTGTGAGCTGACCAAGGTTGCTCAAGTAGAGTGGAGAAAGGGGAGCAATTTGCTTAAAGTCAGTGACAAATACAAAATGAGACAGGAGGGCACAGTCACGAAGCTGCTTATCCATGACGTAGAATTGAAGGATGCTGGAGAATACACTTGCGTGTGTGGAGAACAGGAGACAACAGCTGCCTTGATAGTGCATGGTAAAAAACATATACATGTATCTGTATGTCAACATCCTATATTTCTCTACCAGCTCATCTGCTATTTGTTGTGTGTTCACCTGTGGCTGAATGTGTTTCACTTAACTTGTAAGCCGTTTCATTTAACTTGTAAGCCGTCTCTAAGATCTGGTAGTGTCCAGGCTGACTTTCACTTTGTCTATTGGTTTGTCTAATGTCCTAGAATTATGCAGAAAGGAAACTGTTCCCACTGTACAGTGTTTTCTGCTTCTGTGTCTTAGCAAACTTCTCCCTATCCCTCCCATCGGCTGTGTGGAACGTGTCATTTTTAATGTCTTCTCTGTCCATTCTGTGACCTTCAGCCCTGCCTGCAATTTTCAAAGAAGAACTGAAGAACCTGGAGGCCATGGAAAGCCAGACAGCCACTCTGCGCTGTGAGCTGACCAAGGCTGCGTCTGTGTCATGGAAGAAAGGGAACAAAATGCTCAGAGCGAGTGAAAAATACATCATGCGGCAAGATAATGTTCTTGCTGAGCTTGAAATTCGTGAGCTAGATCTGCAAGATGCGGGAGACTATACCTGTGTGTGTGGGAACCAATGCACCACTGCTTTTCTGACAGTGAATGGTAAATTCCCCTTGCAGAGGAGTGTTTATTATAATTTGTTTCTGTGAAGGATCCTAGAGCTGCATAAAGTATTCACCTACCAGCTTTAGGCTTTTTCCTAGGAATTAATGTGTTCAGAACTTCTTGTTCTGACATCTTAATTTGGTCTGATATCCCTGCAGAGGAAGCAGAGGAAATGGCTGTTCCTCCATGCAGACAAGCTGCTGTACTGTAAACCGAAAGGAATAGTGCCTAGGAAATGCTGGGGTTAGACCAGCTGAGATACTCAGCCCTCATGGAGGGTGGCCCTGTGATACGTCCTTTGAATCCATCCAGCCTGCTGTGTCTTGACCTTTCAGCACGGTTGTTCTTTTCCTACTGGCACTGCTGGATTCAGTTTTCTAGATCATCATAGTGATAAGCTCAACCTGAATGGCTAGAGTAAAGTCCCTGACTTGGCCATGTTAAAACATAAATTAGAGGAGTTCATGATGCCAGCTGCAAGCTGCAGAGGTCTTAGTTTAAATACTCTGTGTGTTGACTTTCCATTCCCAGCCCTGCCAGTGCTTTTCAAAGAAGAACTGAAGAATGAAGAAGGCATAGAAGGAGCATCAGTTTCTTTGTGTTGTGAGCTAAACAAAGCAGCTCCAGTGCAGTGGAAAATAGGGTCCCAAGTGCTCAAAACAAGTGACAAATATCAAATGAGACAAGCTGGCACTACTGCAGAGCTGGTCATTCGTGACCTAGAAGTCAAAGATGCTGGAGATTACACCTGTGTTTGTGGTGACCAGAAGACAACAGCGACCTTAACAGTCCATGGTAAAAAGGCACTATTAAATTAATGAATCGCTCTGTAGATAGATATCACTCTGAAATTCAGCTCTTTTAGCCCTGGATCAGTAACCTGTCTTTGCTTTTTCCTTTTGTGTTCTTTCGTTCTGCGTGTAGCTCATTTATTTCTGAAAAATCATTGTTCAACACAAATTTTGGAGGCATTAGTAATCCACCTCCATTCAAAAGGAGAAAATGAGATATATTTTTTTCTTCTCTTCTCAAGCTTCCTGTACTTGGGCACTTTTATTTTCTAGCTTGTTTCCCCCTCATCTCCTTTGTTTCGTTTTCTCACTGTTCAAAGAAGTAGTGAGGGATGGGGAAGCCAAAGAAGGAGGAGAAGTCACTCTGCTCTGTGACCTGGCCATGGCTGTTCCTGACGATGCGCAAAAAGGGCTCCATATTCTTAAAGAAAGTCATAAATGCAAATGAGATAAGAGTTGCTATTTCAGAGCAGTTCATGCTGTTTCATAACCTAAGTTTGAAGGATGTGGGCGACTAAACCTCTATGTGGGGACCAGCAGAGTACAGACTGCCTTGACAATGAGGGATTAAAAAATAAAAATAAAAAAGACAGGTTTTCAGCAACTGCAATCTTCTTTATTCTACCAGCTCCCAATAAACCAAATCAGAAATAAATCCTTATTTTATGTTAATAATCTCATTACCTGATGTTCTACTCTCCTCTCATTAATGGGCATCTGTTTTAGTGAAGGAACCTTTCCTGGCTCTGAGGAACTTACATGGTCAAAGGGATCCAATTCTTTCCCAACCAACTTTTTCCAACAACTTCTCACTCTCTCCTGGGCTTTTCTGAAACATGTTGTTTTTTTTTTTTTCTGACCTGTCTGAGAAGTGCTCCGTGTTTGTACACTCTCCCCTTTAATATTAGCTGTGCACAAGGCAGGTTTGCAGCTAAGATGTTAAGAATTGGTTTCCTTCAGGTAACGTTCCTGTAGTTCTTCCTTGGGCTCAGGTTTCCAAAATGGGAAAGTGAGAACCTGATATTCTCCAGTTGCATATAATGGCCCTTCAGACTTCAGTTTTAAAATAGAAATAGGTATCTTTTGAACTCCGGATGCTTCATTTATTTGGGATTATAAGTTTTCAATCAAACAAACAAAAATGGTCTACTAGCCTCTTGGAAATCATACATACCTGTGTAAGTAAAATGCTACTGCATCCAGTAGATCTGGATCCCTCTGTATTGTTCTTTCACCTTGAAAAGCAGCAGACACTCAGGGAATTAATTGCGGATGGTAAGTGAAACCACGCTCGCATCAGACTTGAAGAAGGATCCTCTCAGGGTTTCTGAACTTGGCTATCGCTAGGCATGTTTAGAATAGGATGAAAAAGGGAGGCATAAGGGAAAATAATCCCACCTATCAAAAAGAAATTGGAATTTGAATTCTGCTTTTCTGATGACCACTTGTCCATGTTGCATCCTTTAGCCCTGCCACCGCATTTTAAGGAAGAGCTAAAGAATAAGGAAGCAAAAGAAGGTGAAGATGTCGTTCTGCACTGTGAGCTTACCAAAGCTGCTCCTGTGGAGTGGAGGAAGGACCAGAGGATCCTTAAAGCAAATGAGAAATACAAAATGAGGCAGGAAGGGACCAAGACAGAGCTGATGATTCATGACATAGCGGAGAAGGATGCAGGAGAATACACCTGTGTGTGTGGAGAGCACCAGTCTACAGCGGTTTTATCAGTACAGGGTAAAAATTATCTCCTATTTCCCAACTAGAAAAGTCTGTCCTCTCCCATCAGGTGTTCTGTTTTCTGTCTCTGTCTAGCCTTATTAAATGAAGTTCCATTTATTTGAAATAGTATTCCCTGTCTTTGATGACCTCTAAACTGTGTATATTGGAAAATATTGTTCTATATTCTTCTGCGCCCTCTGCAGATCTTCAGAACACCTCTTCAGTGATCAGAACAACACGTTGGCTATTTTTATAGTTGGCGAAAATCTTCTGCTGTTTTTCGATCTTAGAGTAGATTAAGCTTGTACCTACTTCATGGCCAACGTAACTTCCTGAAATCAACATCTTTATGTTCTGCGGATACTCCTATTACCTCTCAGGGAAAATAGCCTTGTAGTTCAGATTTAGAGCTTTGATGTTTAGATCCATCTGCAAAAAACTATTTTGATATTTGCAATTTATTTGTTTTCTCTTTCCCAACATCAATTTGCAGTATATTGCAATTATGTTTCTATTTTATAGCTCTACCAGCACTTTTTAAGCAAGAGCTTCAGGATACCAATCCAGAAGAAGGTGGTACAGTGACTCTGAAGTGTGAGCTTACCAAACCCAATGCTCTAGTGGAGTGGAGGAAAGGAGATATTACTCTCTACCCTGGTTTGAAATATGAGATGAAGCAGCAGGGCTCCATTACTGAGCTGGTCATTCATGACTTAGAACTGGAAGATTCAGGAAAGTACACCTGTGACTCTGGACATCAGCAGACAACGGCTGCTGTCACTGTACATGGTAGGCAGAGTGCTGACCTTTGACTCAGTAAACATGGAGTGAAAGGAGCATCTCTCAGTGTTCCCTACTGCTGTTTATTTGCTTTGTTACTGGTCCTTGATGACAGCATACCTATTCTACTTGAGCCTGATGCATGGTCAAGGTAGAAGGCTTCTGTCTGTAGCATCTGAAAAAATGAATCAGCATCAAAGCGGTTAAACTTTGCCAGGGTGTCAAAATATAATGAACTCTCATGCCCTCTGAGTGCAGGGAGTTTGGCTGCATAGGGGAATTTGGGGAATGATGATTGTTCATTGCTTTGCTAGGCGTAAGGGATGCAACGATTGGGCAGAACTGTGGATAAAGGATTTCTGTAACATGTTCTGAACAAGCGGTATTATTACTTGAGGCTTTGAGACTCATATATGAACTTTGAGTGTAAACAGCTGTGTCCTCATGTGTTTTCCTCAACCCTTTCTACCAAACTGAGCAAGATCTTTTCTGAAGTCTGAATTTCCCCTTTTTCTTCCATTTATCGCTTTATTTTCATCTCTTACCGTACTATCCCTGTTTTGAATGCTAACTTGATCTTTTAGATGTTAGCAGAAGTTTTATTTGGAGAAGACTCTTAGTTAAATATTTCAAAGTCACGGATATTTAGTACGGAAGAACAAGGGCCCATGTAAGAGAAGGAGCATCCTGCTGTGTCCCAGTGTTCTTTGACTAAGCCATCCCTAGCTTGCATGGAGAGGTTTCCATAGGAAAGTCTGACTCCATCAGACCTCAGACCAGGCCGTTCTGTGGACTGCTTTGTAAGACCAGCTCTGCTCCTAATTTCACAATCTGTCCTCACCTCTTGGTTCACGTAATGATTCAAGAAGGATGCTACCAGGAAAGAGAGCTTCAGCCCATGGGTTGTGGAATCAGGAGAACAGACTCTTTCAGAAGAATGATGGTAGGATTGGGTCCTTTCAGGACTAAAGCACTGTTAAAATGTTTGCGTCTCACATTTTGCAGCCCTGCCTGTCATATTTAAACAACCCCTTCAAAATAAGGAAACTGAGGAAGGAAGTACAGCTACATTGTGCTGTGAGCTATCAAAACCCAATGCTGCAGTGGAATGGAGGAAAGGAGGAGTGGAGCTGCAGCCCAGCCAGAAATATGAAATGAAGCAGAGGGAGTGCCTGGTAGAGCTCTTAATACATAATCTCAAATTGGAAGATACAGGAGAATACAGCTGTCATACTGGGGATCAGGAAACAAAGGCATCTTTAAATGTGAAAGGTAGGTGGTGTGAGCTGACTCCTAAAGCATGTTGGATATCATTCAACGCACAAAGCAACAATTTGAATGTAATTATTTTGAAGTGCATAATATTTTGCCCATAAATACTTCCATTTGCATCTGATGCACCTTTTTTTTAAAAAAATGAGAATAGGAGAGGTAGAGTTTGTGCTTGCAGTGCTGCATTGGAGTGTTGGGTTATAAGAAGAAACACTTTCTAGCTTTACAGCTTGGGAGAGATTAAAGGAAGAACAATGCTTTAGCTTAACGTCTGGACATTTCACATGACATGTGACTTCCGTATTTCAAAAAAAGATTTTCTTCCAAGTCCTGGAAGGAGACTGACAACGACCTTTCTGATTTGTCAAGGCTGTCCGTGGAGTTTTCTATATATTTTTTTTTCTCTTGAGATCAACCAAAGGATAAATTCATTCAAATAATTCAACCCTGGAAACAGTTTGACACAAGGATTACAGGAAGGAAATTTTTCAGGTGTAGATGGCTCCTTCTGGAGCAGCAAGATCTGTTACCAGTGCTAGGCAAATTAGAAAACATGGATCCGGCCCAGGAATGTAGCATTTGAAAATCACAGAAACTTTGTTCTCCTAAATGTTAGTCTAGACATGGTAATTAGGATTTGACTCAGGCTCCTATTTTTTCTTCTTTTTCCCTTCTTTTAGCCTTGCCAGTCCTCTTCAAAAAGGAGCTCGAGGACAAGGATGTGGAAGAAGGATCTGCAGTAAAATTCCAGTGTGAGCTGACAAAGGATAAGGCAACTGTGGAGTGGAGGAAGGGCACCATGGAGCTCTTCCCATGTGCCAAATACGAAATTAAATTAAACGGTCGCATAGCTGAACTTGTGATCCACAATGTAGAACCAGAAGACGCCTCCGATTATACATGTGATACAGGAGACCAGCAGAGCACAGCAATCCTCAGAGTGAATGGTTAGCATTGCACCAAAATGGGGCAGAGGATGAAATGGTTTTGTGAAATTGTTTCGCTGATGCTCTGTAATTCCTTGCTGAATAAGTCTTCGCAAAAGTAAGATAAAGAGCAAAGCAGGTGCTCAGGGATAAATCAGAATACAGAAACATGAATTTTGTTGGAAGGGATTCATAGAATGGCTGTTTAAGTCTATGAAGCACAGTGTATAGGCTCATTCCTCTAGTATCAATAAAAGCAAGAAACTCTGCATCATGGAGACTGTGAAATTTTAATAGATCTTTATTTTTGGTGCTTTGCATTAATTACTAGTTCAGCTGGGTCAATAATTAATCATAAGCCAGTTACAAAAATGTGGTTTTTTTCTATTATTTTCTGTTTTTTTATGTCCTCTCGTGAAAATCCTGAAAACATCGTGTATTTAAGCAAACCAGGAATAACGCATGTTGTTAATTGTGGCCTGTGAAAGGTTTGTGACTGTCTTCTCTGTTGGATGGAACTTGTGTTTTTGATCTAAGCCACAACTGTTCAAACTCCTGATGGTTGAATCTCACCCTTGAAGTAGATGCTGGGTCACCTAGGAGTGGAAGAGTCCTGCCCTTGTTTTAGATATATTGAATAGGAGCTAGATAGGAAAACCACAAACACTGGAATTCCCATTTTCACAGCTGCTCACATGCACATGGGATGGATATTCCCTTCGCGTTTTCATCAGTGACCAGCTGTTTTCTGAGCCTGATTTGAATTAGTGTACTTGATCTATTTGTGCATGCTCTGGAAGGACTTCCTGTTGACAGTCTAGGGTCTAGAAAAGATAGCAGTGAAATAAAGCACTTGTTTACATTATTTATGATATTAGAAGTGAGGAGTATCTCCATAATTTCCACACACTTACACTAGTTTTAGTCAGAAAGTACCAGATTCTGCTTAGACATGATCTTGATCCATTTGGGAATTTTCACTATCAAGACAAGTTGTGTAAAAGATGCTGTTAGAGTGTGGATGCCCTTGTCTTTATGAGAAACAAACACATTTGAGGAGCTGTCTGATCCTCTCCTTTTTTAGATACACAGAATAAAAAAAGGTTTGTTGGTATCTCATAATCACTAAGTGCAAATTTGTTCTGCAGCTTCAGACCCCAGGTTCTTTGCACTGAGGTGTGCAGAACTAACATGAATATGTTGAAGCTAGTGGATTGTGTATTAATTGTTCTTAACTTTGCAGCCATCAAACCTCAGCTGAAGCAACACCTTAAGAACGAGAAAGTGGAAATGGGAGGAACGGCCAGGCTGCGCTGTGAGATTACTGTAAGCAAAGCAGCAGTGGAGTGGAGCAAAGATGGAGTCGTGCTTCATTCAAGTTCCAAGTATGAAATGTGGGAGGACGGCACCATCCGCGAATTGCGTATTCATCACTTGGAGCCTAGTGACGCAGGAGAGTATTCCTGCAAGGCTGGCGATGACACAACCTCTGCAAAACTGACCGTGAAAGGTAAGAGCCATTTACTGGGGCAAGGGGATTTTAGTTCCAAGTGCTAAGATTTTGCAACAGAATTACTACTATTGATTGTAGTGAATGCACACAGAGTATGGGAAGGGTATCATGAAGTATATAAAATCTTATTGTGATCAGTGACTGAATGCAGTGAAGCAAAGATTTGCTTGGTGGACCGGAGAGGATAAGGCAACTGTAAGTTTCTGCTCATGTGGCTTGGAACATTTGCTTGATATCATGTGAGTGAACAGATGGTTCGTCCCCAGCTTCCAGTCACATGCCGACTGCATCTGGCCCTAACTCATTACAGACAGAGCTTTCTTTCAGATCAGGTCACTAGTGTGGAACAACCACTTCTAGCCACTCTATAGGCTGCTCTGTATAGCATAGATGCTCTATATACTATGCCCGACTGCACCATTTTTCATGCATACAGTGACCTCGGTTGTATAAATTTGCATTGGGTTTGCCCAGATGAGGACTGTGTTTCTTCCCCCTCGATACTGCCGTGAGATTCAGAGTGTAGCTTCTGCCGTATTGCAGGCTGTGTGATCTTTGCAGAGATCTGCAGGTGCCCAGCTATAAGAAGGGCGCAAGCAAACTGAAATGCAAATGCTCTGTGCTCCCACTAACCCTGTCGGCCCTGCTGAGAGCGCAGTGCCTCCCCGATACCCAGCCAGATTGGAGCACCAGCCTGCAGTATGTGCAATTCTATTTGAAAAAAGGCAGTGGTGGCGGTCAGTTTTTAATGTGTTCAATCTAATTTAAAGATGCTTAAGCGCAAGCATAACAGATTTCCAAATCCCAAACTTGGAAGCTGGTATTCAAGCTTTATTTGCCCACTTACAGTATCAAACAATAAATAATTAAAAAAAATATGGAACCTATCTGTGAGAGAAAGAAAGAAGGAATGATAAAACCACACCTGAAAGATATTGGCCATGTCGCTGAATACCTGGCTGAAAGTGGTCAAACATCAGGGCTCAAATATGTGATTTGAGAAGCTGTGGTATCTCCCTCCTTAGAGATACTTAAAGCTCAACTGGTCAAGGCCCTGAGCAACCTCCTTTAAGTTGGCCCTGCTTTGAGTAGTGGTTGGATCAGGTGACCTCCAGAAGTCCCCTTCAACCTTCGTTATTCTATGAATCTATATTTTGGTCCACATTTTCCCTTTTATGGCTTGACGACTGAACACTGGACTTTTTGCAGAGCCTGACGTGACCATTGTGAGTGGCCTAAAGGACATGGAGGTGTTTGAGGGGGACGACGTCACTTTTCAGTGCCAGGTTTCTCATGAGAACGCAAGGGACGTTGAATGGAAGCTACAGGATGTTGCTCTACAAAACAATGAAATGAATGAAATCTCTGTAGAAAAAGGAAAGATTCATACCCTGACGTTAAGGAAGGTGACTGAGCAGGACATTGGCATGGTCGCTTTCCGAGTGGGACCACACACGTCTACAGCACAGCTCTCAGTGAAAGGTAAAGGAGAGGAACAGGACCGGAGAGAATAGGCAGCAATTTGCTTTCATGTATGGCGGTAGTAACTTCAAGGCCTGACCTGTCCATCATTCACTCCTTGTTAACTCCCCTTAGTCAGGTGCTTGTGCTTGAGCTCCAGAGTGATTTGGAGGCAAAAGAAATTCTGAAACATCCTTCTCCTTCCCTTTTCGAAGCTGCTTGTCTGGTCAAAGTCCCCATCCCATCTGAACTAGACAAAATATGTGTACATTTTTTGATTAGTACTTCCTTAGCTTCTAGAAACACCTGCCAATGGCTTTCATTCAAAAGCCATTCACTTGTTTTAACCGTCCCAATATTTTACACAGAAGTTAAAGCATTTTTTAATGCTTAATTTTTCAA